GCTGTGAGAGCAGGCTAATGAATCAGCACACAATGTAATCACTGGCTTCCATTTAGATTCCAATATTGAGCCCGAGTTGTAACTGTACCTTTTCATCCTTCAAGGCAAAGCAGTTTATAACAGAAGCCCTGTAGGCTCTTTCCAACCCTTTCCGGGTCTCAGGCCCACTGCACGCCACCGAACTTGATGCCTTAGCTGCAAATGATGAGGCATCCTTCCAAAGGCCTTCGCATGCACTTTTCAGCTTCTTGGCTTCGACCTGGGAGACATATTCAAGGTGTTCCATAGAGCAAACTTGCAAAGTATCAAACTCACCGTCTGCTGTGCAGGGGCGTAGGCCGACAGGGGGGGGGGGGGCGTATAACGCAAGTTTCCTATATGCAGGGGTTTTGTGGCTCAAATTGCCTACTTCTCAGGCGGCTATCTACACACTAAACCCTTAAGTACTTTGTTGTGTATAACATGCACAACTGTAAGCAGCCATAGTTATGCACCAAATTTCATGCATAACTATGTAAAACTTCAGCATTACTTTGCACAAATTTGTGCATAGTGGCCATAGTTTTGCATAATTATGCATGAAAAACTGTGCATAGCTATGGCTGCTTAAAATCCTGCAAGTCTTATGCACAACAGAATTCATGGGCAATTCTAGGCGTTACGCACGGGCATTCGTAAGCAAAAATCACTCGTTTATTCTAGTTTTGGAAGGGAAGATCGAAGCGAATCGCAACGGCGTTTTTTGTCCGTGCGTAACGGCCTCTTCACTTATTTATAAAATCCAAACGGATCATCGCAGAGCAGCCGTACACATATCATCGGATAGCTCTCCAAATGCACTTTAGAACAAGCCTTTGGTCGATGCGATTCGCTTCGATCTTCCCTTCCAGAACTAGAATAAACGAGTGATTTTTGCTTACGAATGTCCGTGTGTAACGCCTAGAATTGCCCTCATAAGGATTTAGTGCATTTAGTGTGTAGGGCCGACAGGGGGGCGATCACCCCCCCCCCCCTTAATCCGCGCCTGC